GCAAGCCAATAAATATTATTAAATATATTTTAAATTATTGCCTTTTATTTGGTGTATTTTGATATAACAATAACAAAAATACGAAGATATAAATTTATTTCTTTTCGAAGAGTTTCGTATGGATTGTTTAGAGAGAGTAAAAGTAGTTATTCTGAAAATAAACAAAAGAATACATAGTTAAATAATAAGTCATATGAGATAACTGATCTTGTTGCACAAACAAAAAAACCATAAACCTTCGAAGAAAATTTGAAACGATAATCAACGATATGAAGGATATCGATGTCGATCAAAATGCAGCGATATAAACTTCGAAAGATATTTGTTAATAATACAATGCCAATCAAAATTGTTACAAAGGATAGTTAGAACTCATTATAACTTGTTATGCACAGGTTTATTTATAATAAATATAGAAATTCAATCAACTACTATTGTATCTTGCGTGTAATGTATGATTTTAAACTTGTTGAAAGTGTACAATTTTATGAAATAGAAGTCACATATTTGTATTATTTGTATTATATTATAAAACCTGTATTATAATTATATATCAATAAAATTTCATCTTGTATATAATACAACATTTTGCTTTTGATTTGTTTCAAAAAGTATTCATATTTATTTTTTAAAATAATAGATAATGTTTTTCAGTATGTAGAAATTTAATTAATAAATTTTTAATAAATCCATAGACAATACACACAATGCTTTGTAATATAATGAAAGATATACCACTAATAATAACTTATTTAATGTATGTACACATGCGTATAAAAATATTCAATAATATTATCTTTCGCGTCATATCAAAAGTAATTTTATTTTATAATTGCATATCCTAAAATAATTCGCGACATGAATTCAATATTTATATAATTAATTAGGAATAATATCATGATGTATCAAAAAAAGAAAAGGAGGGTTGACATCTAATGAAAGATAATACATATGTAAAATGAATATGATGATACATTTCGGAAATATTCGAGTTATTTTAAATTCTGAAAAAATGAGACGGAAAAATATGTATATATAAAGGATCGAAATTCTTCCATCTTCATAAAATAAATCCTAGAATATCTAAAAATTTTTGAAATGTCACAAAGAACTTTAATCAGCTTTTATCAAAAAAAACAAAAAAGAGATAAAGATAGAATTTCTAGTCTTTTATCTGGAAGATCAAGTTTCACTAAAGCAAAAAAAAGGACTTCGGCACAAGCAGTATTTACTCCAGCAGCAGAATCAACATCAGCAGCATCAACGTCAGCAGCATCAACGTCAGCAACGAGAGGAGAGACTGAAATGGAAGATGTGTTGATATTAGGTGAGGAAAGACAAACATCTCCATCATCACAAGCAAGAAAACGAAGAAGAACGGAAATAGGAAGAGAAGACCAACATTCTGATGGTAATTTTTCAAAAATTTTCATATTAAAATATTTAATAAAAATATTTTATAATGTATAATTTATTTTATTAGGAGAAGAAGAACCATTGACAAGAAAAGAAAAAGATGACCGAATGCTAAATTATTTAAAAAAAATTGATAAGGAAGTCGGAGACCTACGAAAGGAAATGGTTGACATCCGAAAAAAAATTGAAAGCAATAAATTATGGGACGAGATGTACGATCCAACTTTCGTCAATGTAAGTAATTTATTTATTTTCTTTACAAAAAAAAACTATTTTGCTCATAATATTCTTAATATTCTAAAAAAAAAGAAAATTGTCAACGAAATTGTGAACAAGACAATTTTGGAAACAATTTACCCAAGTGACGAAGTATTGAAAGCAATTGCTGCGGACTATGTTATTCGAAAATATCCGGAGCTTTTCGAAAATTGGAACGACAAACGCTGGACGTTTTATTACGATTTAACTATTCAAAAAAAAGTAAGTTTTATCGAATTACATTATAATTTAAATGCTCTAATAATTGACAAAAGATTTTGAATTATTCAAAGTTAATAGAAAGGCATCGGTCAAGAAGGGGAACTATGTCTTCGCAAATCAAAAAATCAATATTTGCGGTATTTCGAAATCTTCCACGAATAACTATGAAGGCACCACCAAGCGAGATTAAAAACTGGAAGGAAAAACGTGTAGTTAAAGAATGTTACGAAAAGCTGCACACAAGTATACCAGAGGATGAAAATGAAACCTGGTGTGGAAAGATCATCCATGAAACATGGCCGGACGCCGAAAAAATATCTAAAGAACAAATAGCATTTGCGGTGGCATTATGCGAAAGTTTTTTAAATCCAGATAATGAAATTATAAAAAATGATAGTAAATATTTAAGTAAAAAAATACGAAAAAATAAAGTAGGTATTAAAAATATCTGGAATTTTGTTATCTATAATATTCTAATAATATATATAATTTGTATTAATAGAAAAAAATGGAAAGAGGCGAAAAATTTGATTTAAGAGAATCAGAGTCTAGCGAAGAATCGGAGAACGAAGAAGAAGGAGGAGGAGAAAGAGGAGGAGAAAGAGGAGGAGAAAGAGGAGAGGAAAGAAGAAGTGAAAGAAGGGAGGAAAGAAGAGGGGAAAGAAGTGAGGAAAGAGAAGAAGTTGAAATCATATTTGAAGGACAAAGCATAAATTAGTTTCGAAATATTTGAAATTTTTTATTATAAATATGAATATTTTTAAAATAATTTTTGTAAAAGATATATAATAAATAAAATATTGCAAAAGTTTATAAAATTTAAAAATAATTTTACAAGATTATATTTGAAATTTTCATATATATTTATTAACAAAATATTC